GCCCTGATTCCGAGCCGTCAAGATGCGTTCAAGGCGATCTTCTCTATGCCGTCCTTCGGGTTAAGGGTGTAAGGTTCAGGGTGTGGGATTTAGGTTGTGGTTCAGGGGCTTCCAGTTTATAGGGGTAAAGGGGCTTAGGTTGTACGGTTTAGGACTATTCTCCAGGCAACTTCGTAGCAAGAGCAGCAGCAGAAACGGAACTGCCGCCAGTTGAACACGGTAGCAACAACGGCACTGCAATTGGCAACGGCAGTGCTGTTGGCAACAGCATGGCATGCAGCCCTAAACGCTGTAGCACCGACGTAGTCGCCATGCCACTTGAGCTACTGTCTGCTCTACGAATAAACCCGAAATGGGGGTCGTTAAACAAGGACGCCGGTGGGGGACACAATTTGATCCTACCCGGGTCCTACACCCTAAACCCAAAATCCGAACGTACACGGGCTCTTGTGCCCTTCTGTGAGATTTGAGACGGCCCTGCAAACCACACATCTGGCTGTGGCTCATGTAGATATCAGGATCCTCTTTGGAGCCTGTTGACTGAACCAGGAAAGAGCAGATGGTCTCGTTCCGGACAGGTCTCTCAGGCGCAGACACACTGAATGCGATCACGGTGTATACCATATGCTGCAGCAACGTGCTGCATGGGTCCGGGTGCTGAGAAAGGCAAATGCGTTACAACATGTGGTTTGTGCACAGGGCCGTCTAATTCATGATTGACAACTTGATATACCGAGAATACGGATAACCCCACTGAGTTCAGAACATGCTGAAGCAAATTCCTCGGGAACACCCGGACACCCCTCCTGGATGACTTGGGTTTCTAGCATAGCAAAACTCAAATTCCTCCGGGTGTACCCTAAACCCTAAATCCAAAACCCTAAACCCTAACCCATAAACCCTAAACCCTAAACCCAAATTCCTCCGGAACTCCCGGCAACCCCCTCCTGGAGCATTGGCATGGCTTCATGAATCCTCGGCAGGTGCTTCGGGTTCAGGGTTTAGGGGTTTAGGGCAAGTTTAGGGGTTTAGGGTTTAGGGTTTAGGTTTAGGGGTTTAGGGTTTAGGGGTTTACGGTTTAGGGTTCAGGTTTAGGGGTTTAGGGTTTAGGGTTTAGGGTTCAGAGTGGGGGGGTTGAGGGTTCAGGGTTTAGGTTTAGTAGTCCTTTCAGTAGGAAACCGAAGGCCTTCCGGCTCCGTGTACCTATGTAGCAATCACTCCGTAGCCTTCATTGGGTTCGTACATAGAGACTTTAGGCATGTATATGTGCAGTTCTCTAAAGTGGGATCCCTTTTTAAGTCCCCAAGATAGTACGGCACTCGTATGAACAGGATCCTAATTTGGAACTAATTTAGAGAACTACCCATATACTAGACGGGTAATGACATGGACCCTTACCCTAAGGCTCAAAGTAGCTCTTTGGGCCCAAACAATCTTAAAATATGAGTCCTTAGAGCCTTAGGGTTGATTTACATTTACACCCCAAACCCTAAGCCCTAAACCCAAAAGACAGGAGTGTCGACGCTGCCGATGCCCTTCTTGCTCCCAGTGAAGTAGCGAGATGCAGTACAGCAACCAGAAGGTGCATCGTACCTGCTCGCTGACATCCGCCATGGAATAGCCCACCCGCTCCTCGTGGGATTCCACTGGGATCTCCTTCGCCGCGTCCATCTCCAAGTATGGATCTTCTGTCGCCTTCTTCTCTTCCTGCAAAACACTCTTTAGAGCCATCCGGAGCTCTCCGCTGCTGGCTCTGGACTGAAGTCCCGCACCGACCGTTCTCGTCGAGGCGGAGTCGAGAATCGTTGCGCGCACTGCAGTGCTGCAAGGCCTGGTCTTCCGGCCTTTGGGTCCACGAAGCCTTGCGTGCACTGCAGCGGTTCAAGGCCTGGTCTGCCTGCCTCCGGGTCGACCACGCCTTCTGTGTCCTCTGCAGCTCGTTTCCTCTTCAATTGAGGACTTGGAAGTCCTGGAATGGTGGTTGCCGGCGAGGCTGACACGTCGTCGATCACAGTCACAGCTGGTGAAACTTCCGAAGCTGCTGAAGCCTCCTGCTGTGGTTGAGGGTTTTGGGTTTGGGGGTTTAGGCTTATAGTGTTTAGGGGTTTAGGGTTTAGGGTTTAGGATTTAACGGTGTTTCGGGCTTATAGGGTTTAGGGCTTTAGGGGTCTAGGGGTGTAGGGTTTAGGCTTTTAGGGTTTCGGGGTTCAGGGTTGCGGTTATACATATCAAAACCCTGAATCCTAGAGGCCCCGCTAGGAACCTCGTAAACCCCAAAGCCCTGAACTTTGAAGCTGATGCCTTCAAGCCCAAACTGTGCAAGCCCTAAACCCGAAATCTTCAGCCCTAAACCCTACACCCCTAAACCCCTAAACCCTGAACTCCATAAGCCCTAAACCCGAAAGCTTGAGGCCTACCTGCCTACCTATAGTCGCCATTGTAGTTTCTTTTTGGGGATACTTTTTACAATCCTTAAGATACACTTGGTCAAACCAAAAAAAGGAACTACAATGGAGACTACCGGTGAACCCTACACCGTAAACCCCTAACCCCCTAAACCCCATAAGCCCTAAACCCTAAACCGAGGCCTAAAGCCTAAACCCCATAAGTCCTAGATCCTAAACCCTAAACCCTAAACCCTAAACCCCTAAACCCTACACCCTTTCAACCCTTTCAATGAGCGTGAAAGCCTCGGCCGCAGCGTAGACCTCCACTGTCCGTGTCAATCATGGCACTATCATGTCTGTGCACTGGTGAGGAACAGCGATGTTGTGCCAACCTCTGTTCTGACCACATACCGTTCCATTAGGAAGGCTGCGGCTCAAAAACGCCTCTACGACTTCAAACCGAGTCTGTGACCACCGTGCAGGAATGCACGACAACTTCACTTGAAGAGCTGTGCTGCCAGGACGTCTCTCGTTAACCGTTCGAAGCACCTGCCCGAACCATCTGGTTCGCTGGCCCATATGATATGTCAACAACTGGCCGTACTGCATGAGCCCTGGGTCCAACCACTGTTGTCCAGAGAAAACTGGCGGAGCAAAACCACAAGACATCGAATAATCCAGTAGAAGCTGCAGCAAGGATACCCATCTGGTTGGTGTGTGCAGAGGAACCGAATCAACGAAACAGTGCCTAAACCAGTGTTCGATGCGCCGAACGGCTTGGATACCATATCGGCGGCCCAAACGCCCTTCCGGATCAGCTGCTTCCTGGCCAAGCTGGACTGGTGGAGGCAACACTGCTCGCTGAGGTGGCACCACTGGCATTGCCGGTGTCGGAGCCCGGGTGGAGTGGAAAGCAACTCGGCCATGGAGGGCCTGAACGGCCTGTGCGATCGAACACTCGGCCTCCAATGACTTGCGCACAGTATCCCAAAGCGCCCAGAAGTCCGACGAACGGCCTCTATTGGTCGTCCCAGCAAGGTTGTCAACCCGCGCATTGTAATGCGCACACCACTCGTCGACGAAGGTAGCCTGGGCCTCGGACTCGCAGTGGGCTTCTACCTTGATGATCTCTATACGATCGCGGCAAGAGCTAACAACGGCAGACAGGCGAGACCACAAGTCACTATTGCGAGTGCTAGGACCTGGAGACCAGTCGCCCTGAAGGAGCCGACCAAAACGCCGAACAACACCCAAGCAATCTGACCAAATCCGGATTTTGGAACGAGAGATGGCAGCAAACTCTGCTGCAGAGATGACCGCGGTGAGCTCGGCCCTGAATGCAGATTGAATCAGCCCTGGAAGGTGGCCAGTGGCAAGCAGTGTACCCGGTGCACCGAGGCCTCCTGCGACAACGACGCCCCAAGCCGCAACCCGAAGATAGGACTCAGAAGGATAAAGGCAAGAGCCATCCGTGAACAGATCATACACAATACATGCTCAAAGACAGACGTGGAGTCCGGAATACTTTGGAGAGCTTGAAGCAAAGCCATCCGACCCTGGGGCTCACGCGCCCAGCAGTGAAGCTTAAGCGACGGGGGAAGCCGACGAATATCCTCAATGGAAAAACTTTGATCGACGCAATCAGGGGGCCGACGGCAAGCAGCAAAGTGTGCACAGTAAAGAATTCGATGTTCAATGCTGTCAGGTCCACCACAAAATTTGCAGTCCGGACTTTCGCCTTCTCCAAGATGATGAAGGGCATCGTTTGTAAAGAAGGTGCCATTTAACGAGAGCTTCACCAAGGGACGATGGGCAACAGGAAGGCTCAACAAAACCCTTCGGGTAAGGAAAGGGTCAGCAGACACCAAGCCATGAAACCCAGGACGATGAGAAACATCACACTTGATGGCATTCTGCCAGGCCCACACCAAGCGGAACTCCATTTCCTGAGGGGAGCAAGTCCACAGCCGCAGAGGACCAAAATCATCAACAAACGAATGCATGCCCGGGTCCCAACTGACACCCACGCCGTTTGCCCTTTCCAGAAGAACCTTGGCTGGCCCGGGGTGACGTGCCGCTGACTCAACAACCTGATCCAGCAACGGCTCAAGTTCACGCTGCGATGACAAGACACGCGCATCCCGAAAGCTCGACACAAGAGCATAAAAACCAGGGTCGACAGAAGGATGCTCCACCAAGCCCATGTGTAGCCGACCGTTGGCACCGGGCGACTTTGCGCCAATACCCTCCATTGCACCAGCTCGGAGCGAGACAACATGCTGCGACCCGACACCGACGATACTGATAGCATGCAGGGCTGCGGGCCACGCTACCACACGAAGACAACGAAGCTTCTGCGTATATGGAGCCACTGAAGCTGCAAGGCGTCGCCACTTCGGTTTTAAGTCTTTGAAACGAGCAACTTGTGTGGAGTTGGTTTGCCTGCGAGATGCCTGAAAATGGGCGCCAAGCTCTTTGAAATCGAGTGCAACATGACTCCCAGCTGCACGGAAAAAAAGCACGATCCTGAGGCTGTGTTGCCCAGAACTTGGTCTTGGCAGGGTCAAGCTGAAGATCCCAAGACTGTACGAAGGATTCTTGAGCAGCGGCGGCCTGCAGAACCTGAGAGGGATCACGGGCGAACGCCTCCCAATTGTCAACGAAAGTCAAGACACGCAGCTCGGGGCAGATGTGCGGACATGTGGTCATGATAAGCAATGTTAACGAGAACCATGGCAACACGCGACAAGCCGTCACCTTCAGGAAAACCGGTGGTGCTAGGTAAAGCCGGACCCAGCGACCCACGCACACGGAACCGACGCATGAAGCCGGAAAGAGCGCCCGTCCAAGCCCGAATGATGCCTGCATGGATGCCACAGACTGCAGCGAAAGCAAGGACCGGTGTACGCGGTAGCAGGTTGTAAGCCTTGCTGAGATCAGCCGTGAACCCAGAAACAGGAATGGCTCTATGGTAAGAAGACTCAACCAGCAGTTGTAAAGTATACCAGACTTCACGCGCTTCGTGACCTGGAAGGTTACCAAGAAGGCCCAGCGGAGCATAACGAGCCAAATGCGCGAGGCACTGCCGAGCGCGGATGGAGGACCAGACACGATACGTCAACGACAGCACCGTTATGGGCCGAAACTGGCCAACCAGGGAAGCATCAGGGATCTTCTCCAAGGCAGTTACAACACCATCAAGCATCTGACGTGGCCAATCGCCAGTGGCCTCAGCATGGTGGCAAAGGTCCAAAAGAGCCTGTGTCAAGTCAACAGGCAGAAGAAGTAAATCCGCACGCGAAACACCGTTAGGACCAGTACTGCTATGTGCATGTTTACGCTGGACTTCAGCACGCCAAGTGGCCAAGGTGATAGGGTGATAGACCATGGGAGGGATTGGGCACCTGGCTGCAAAAGATGCTACCAGCGGTGCCCACCTTTGAGGATCGACTTGGTCATGGCGCTGCCACCGTCGACTCCATTCCTGAGCGAAGGCCCGGAACACATCCGGTAAGGAACCTAGCAAGACCGGCTGATCAACCCGATCACCTGGCGCACAATTCTCAGGGAGGTCAACCCAGATTTTGTCCGACTCAACATGCGCAACATTTAAAGGCCGACCCTTGTGGAGGAGAGGGAAGTCCGGATGCCAATCAACATGCTGAGTAAGTTCAAGGGCGCCTTCATCAACAACAACTTCGCAAACCTCAGCAGAACGATGTTCAAGCAGCGAGTCAACCGGCCGAGCAGCAGGAGGCCGCAAATCACGGAAGATGAGATTGGGATCCTGCACGCGACGGGTGGAGGCAACCTGACGGCGCTCCGACAGCAAGCGACGCTCAAAGGACCGAAAGTTGGCCTCAAAGGACAAGAACAAACGTCGCGCAACCTCAGCGTTTGGCGGGCAAGATGGGAATGAATCAGGGTCCTCTTCCAGAACACAGTCGCGAGACATCCACCACACTGAGAAAGGAGCCCCAAACCCCGGAGCACGGCAAATGGCATCCCACAAGGCGGCCCGATGCTCGACGGCAGAAGGAGCAGGGTTAACCCGAACCATAGCCTGAACATACGCTTGGATACGCCGAAGCTGGCGAAACCAATGTGTGTGACGCAAGTTTTGACCAAAGTACTGTGGCTGGGCCTCCCCATCACGGGCACGAGGAGCAGGCGGGACAACCCCACGCTGACACCGAACATCACGAGTGCTGGCACGGCCTCGTTCACGGGGCTGCAGCGGACCTGCACCACTAGCCTGCAACGTGGAGGATAAGCGAGCCTCAAACTCCTGACACACGCTACGGTAAGAATCAGAAGGGGAAGACTGTGGCGGCATCCAACCAGTCGACGGAACGATCAACGAAGCCGTGGCAGAACAAGGCCTGTGCGATGGCATGCGCCAAGTGAACCTGGGAAGTGAATCTCCAGACCACCGAAACCGGGCCGCAAGAACAGCGTGGTCCGCGAAGAAAGTGTGGTCAACTGTGGCTTCAATGAACAAAGTCTGCAACTCCCTCGAAATGAAGAGGAAATCCTTCCTTGTGCTATGTTTGCACGTCACCTGGGGCGGACGCCCAGTCATGCGTTGAAGGAAATCCTGAATCTCAACAAATCCGTGATCATGCCAAGTAGCCCAAAGATCAAGGCGATCAGACTCCAAGTTGAAGTCGCCACCGAAGAACCGAGGCCCTGAAGCCTGATAAACAACCCGCTCAGTCAGGGCATCAAGAAGGAACGAAGTTTTAGCAGGATCTGCCACATACCCATAGGCGACGCCACCCAAAATCCAGAGGGGCTCAACGAAGAAATGAGCAACCTGTACACGGGAGGTCGCGTAGACCTCAACTGGCCAATTGTGTGGAGCTGGCTTGCAGGGAAAAGACGACAAGAACCCCACACCAGAATAAACCCCAGACATCTCACTCCGCGCTCGGAACGCGACCGGCTGCCCAGAGACATAACGGTACCCGCCTGAGAGGCGGAGGCCTAAACGAAAACTCTCCAAGCCGGCCTGTGTAAGATGATCTTCGGAAACCATATAGACTGCAGGACAGTCCAACTGAGAAACAACCCCATGTTTGCCGTTCAACCCGGTCGGATTGATGGCCCCCAAGGTGAAGCTGCGATCACTAAAGCCCGACGGTGGACCAGGGTGACTCGCCTCTCCAAGCCTCATTGAAAAGAAGACAATGAGGAGAATCAGCTGCTTGAGAATCCGGCAGCCCCCCAACGAGAAAAGAGCCACACTGGAGATGGCCCATAAACCCGAACAACCCCAAGAACCGAAACCGAAGCCACAAGGGTCACAAGTCCCAGAAGTGTGTAGTCACTCGTGGCGCAAACGCTTGGTAGAAGCAAACAGTTCCTCAATGCGAGACATCTGTTCGTTGAAGAGGTTACGCAAGGAAGAATCAACACTGTCAACTTTGGCACCGATTTCAACGACCTTGCCCTCGACCTGCTGGGGACGCTGCCCAGTAGCAGCAGAAGCAACCTGAATCTTTTCATCGACTTTGGCCAGGATTCGTGTCTCAAGCTCAAGAGCGGAGGGTGCAACTGCGGAGGAGGCGACTGCCGATGCTGTTTGCCCAACACGAGCCAAGACACGCTTTTCCACCGCTGCAGAAAAGGCTACAACGGAAGCAGAAGGTGCGGCTGCATCTGAACCACTTGATGTGTTAGCGGCTTGAAGGGCCTGCATCCAAGGGTCAGACTGCTGTAGCGGATCCTCAGATGATGCAGCACCCGAGGCCTGCAAATTGTGGAGGGTGGGCCGCGAAGCGAGGACAATAGGGGCTGGGGGCTTCACCTGCTCTCGAGACGGCACCTCGCTGAATATGACTTCACCGAACTGTGTGTGAAGCACGTTTTGGGGTGGCGCGGCCTCAGCATGAACAACCCACCAAAGTCCCCCGGCATGTCCCGGAGCTGGCTGCATCGGACACGCTTTCCAACCCATGTCAATCAAGGCTTTGGTGACAGCACGCCGCTGCGTACCATATGGGAATGGGCCGGCATGAAACCGACGCAGTTTGGTTTTGTCAACAAACGGAGTGTCCTTGACAAGTTTATGCAAGCATTCTTCATGCTCATGCCGACACCGTATGCCAAAACGATCATTAACACGTGCAAGGCCGACAACTTCAGAATGCGACTGTTTCAGAAGGACAACCTCTTGGAAGGAAGCCTTCGGCAACCACAGCACATGGTAGCAAGAAGAAGGATCGCGCGCGTCGGCAGCACGAGGCTCAAAGAAGATACCTCGAACTCCAGACGAGGCCTGCAGGGGCAGTTCAAGCCCAGCTGGGATACGGATAAACACATTGAAAACGGTTGCTGTGGCCGGTGACTCAGCTTTAAACCCCTGGCGGAACCAACTACGACTCCAAGCCTCAAGTATAGCCGCAGGCTCCCCAGGTGCTGAGGAACCATGCCAACATTCACATGCGCACCCGGCAGTGGAGCACGTCCTCAAGAGTGGAACTTGATCAGTCACATGTTTGAGTGGACGCGACACAAAGGCAGTCCAGTCCCCCTCGAACTGGTCCTTGAAAACAGCAACTCGCACGACCGCAGAAGGAATCTGCTCAACCGAAGTAGGAGCCGGAATGTGTTTGGAGACCCATCTGTCACCAATCTGAACCAAGGTGCCCGAGACAAGAGCAGGAGCACCAGTATCAGCACACTCAGCACAAAAACGAAGAGTCTCGAACTTGACACTGGCTCCAGAAAGATCAACTTCGCCAACCACAACAAGCGCCAAGGCATTGCGACTGACGGGCTTTGCAAGTGTAAGATATGGGGAAGCCTCAGCTGGAGTAACTAACACCACACCCGAACTGGTGGGGCCAAGCTCTTTCAACGCAAGCTGATGCAACGGCGTCTCCCCATCAACGAAAATTCCTGAAGGCACTTTGAGCTGCTGAGGGGCAGGCAAGACAGGCTTATTAGGGACACCCTTTTGTGGGACGGTTTTTCTGGAACGATTCTTCTGGGGTGCACCTGGGCCCATGGAAGCACGAAGAGCCACCGCGTCTTGGAGCTCACTCGCAAGGACAAGTTGAAATGGGGGAAGCATTTGATTGGCCAACTGCTTGATCTCTCGCCAGGGATTGGATGACTGAAGAGCTTTCTGGATAGGCTTATCACCGATCTTGGCAATGGCCTCGGTGGCTCGACTGCTAGCAGATTCAACTGGCACGCCCTTTGCTTTCAAGAGTGATGCTAGGCCCTGTGTAGCCAGGGAACTTAATCCCCTACTCAATTGAAGAGAAGCTCCTTCACGAGCGCACCGACCTTCCGAAGAAAATGCCATGGCGACCCCACACCCAAGTATTGGCTAGCTCCACCATGCCTGCTGGAAGGCTCTTGGGCAAAGTGGCTAAACCCTACACCCCAGGAGGTTCACCTTAACCCTACCTCGGGTCTCCGGGAACCCCAAGGATGGGAGAAAACGTTGAGGGCAGACTTCCTTCAAGGACGAAGGGCCTCGGCAATAATACTCTTCATGATATAAAATCCTGCCTTGCCTTAAGGACCCTAGTTTACATTAAGGACCCTAAACTATGGGAATTAGGGTATACTCCTTATCATGCGTAATGCAGGATTCATATCATCAACCGTATGTCCTACACCGATAATACCTTGTAAGGAATCTGATCTTTAGACCCTTCTAGCAAGGCTGTTGCAGGGTTCATGTGATCGTAAAGGCAAGGTGCATGTCTGGCAAAGGCGTGCCGTCTGCGCCAACATTGGGCCACAACAGCCTCAAGTGAGGCTTGAAGCATATTCAAGCTGTTCATACCTTGGCTTCAGGCTTTCAAGAACTAAGGTTCATAAGGGTATGAGTCTGCCACCTCTACCTGGAGAACCCCCAAAACCCTACTACTTGAATGCACAGCTTTTCGTCGGGCAGCTACCACTTCCCAAAGTACCAACCTACAAATGCCAGCACCATGAAAGCCAGATACTATAGGGGCCTTAAGATTAATAATTACCTATGCTATTTTTGGGAGGGTCGAGTGAGGCCTATGCCTTGAACCCGATCTCTATTGCTTTCCACCTGCCTTACCCAAAACCCAAAACCCGAAAGCCCAAAACCCTCTACTCTAAAGCCCAAAACCCAAAACCCTGAACCCCAAACCCCTGAAGCCAAAAACCCTCAACCCTAAACCCTGAAGCCCAAAACCCTAAACCCTAAAGCCCAAAACCATCTACCCTAAAGCCCAAAATCCAAAACCCTAAAGCCAAAAACCCTAAACCCTGACCCGCAGCCAAACCTAGAATGTAAAACCAAGGATCCTAAAACCCAAAACCCAAAACCCTAAAGCCCAAAACCCTAAACTGTTTGAACCACGGCCAAAGCTAGAAATGTAAAACCCAAGGATTCTAGAGCCCAAAAACGCCGAAACTCAAGAACCCAAACCTCTAAACTCCCGTGGGTCAATAGCCCTTAGCGGGGTTTAGGGTCTAGGGTTTAAGGTTTAGGGCTTATGGTTTAAGGTTTAGGGCTTAGGGCTTTTATGGTTTAGGGTTTAGGGTTTAAGGCTTAGGGCTTGGGGCTCTCATGGTTCAGGGCTTGGGGTTGTCAAACACCTGCAAACCCTAAAAGCCCTAATACTGAAGCAAACAAACACCCCCCCTCGCCGGTCGTGCCAGAAACGAAAACAAACACGTTGGGGCAAACCCAAGACAATGCCAGCAGACAAAGTAACAACCACGATAAATTAGACAACGCAACACCAAGAAAACGACACACTGGCCCAATTGGACAACCAAGAACACAACAATACACAAAAATAACTAAACAACCAAGCAACCCACGCACACACACACACACAAAAGAACCACCATTCACACTTAATTAGAACGCGAAGCGCTCGCAAGCAACGTTAGAAACAAAAACAAAAGCTCCAACAACACAATAATAAACCTAGAAGCAAACTAGAAAACTCGAGGGGGGGGGGTGGAATCCTTAAACCCTAAACCTTAAACCAGCGATCGCAGACCAGACCAGACCTTGATGCCAGGACTTCTCCGAGCTCTCTCTCCGGACCCCTTCGAAGCGAAAAAAAGGACTGACTAAGTAGAACAGGGCTCCTGCCACATGCTTCCTTTGAAAGAGGTCTCTACCCATAGGCCCCTAAGTAGTTCCTTTTTGGGATTACATTATAGGATTCTAGATATAAACTATAAAAAAGGAACTACTTAGGGGCCTATGGGTAAAGGCTGCTCTAACCCAAGAGACTCCTGATGTACTACGATTCAAGAATTCGGGCCCAAAGGACCATCCTCATTGTGGCTCTGGGAGGGCCCTAGTTCCATACCTAGTAGTAGTAGTAGTAGTAGTAGTAGTAGTAGTAGTATATGTATATATATATATATGGACCCACTAGGCAACGTTCCTTTCAGGGGTTTCCGTGAGGGTTTGCGGTTTAGGGTTTAGAAATTACCTACTTGTCGAGTATCCTGGGGAACGAAAAGTTCACATTGGTTTTTGGTGACTATAGAACCCCAAAAACGTCACAGGTCACCAACTCTTCTACTAGGTTTAGGGTTACTATATTAGGTTTAATGTTACCTAATTACTCTACTGCTGGGTTTAGGGTTGCTACAAGGTTAAAGGTTACCTACTCTACCAGGTTCAAGGTTCCTCGTTATAAGGTATACAACTATAAGGTTAAAAGTCACCTGCTCTACTACTACATGTAAGGTTACTATAAGCGTTGTGTCCAAGCAGCACGGTGCCCTTCTTCGGCGTCACCGCGAAGCCCAGGGCTGGGAAATCGGTCTCTCCACCAACACCTCCCGCAGTGAACTACGGTTTAGGGTTTAGGGTTTAGGGTCCAGAAAGACCACCGGGTCCCAAGTATCCATATATGATTATGGGTAACTCTCTAAGTTAGGGCCTGTTAAGTCCCCCAATATAGTACACCGTCGCCAGCCGTAAGCCCTGAACCCCAAACCCCAAATCCTGAATGCTAAACTCTAGGCCCTAGACCCTGGGATTTCCTATGCTGTGCCCTAAGGACATGAGGATTATGTTGTTTCAACGTTCAGGCACCTACCTTTTCTTAATTCGGTTGGCTTTTGGCTTTAGGGTTTAGGGTTCAGGGTTGGCTTTTGCACACAGATCGAGTTGTTCCTTTGAAGCTTTGCTTCTTGAATCTAGGGTTGCTTTCGCTGTCTCAACTTCCCTTACCCCGCCCCCTTAAACGACATTGCGTATCCGGATAAACGGGTAAGTCAGCACGCAAGCGAGCATGCGAGCAAGTGAGCACGTACGTGAGTATGTACGTAAGAAGTACGTAAGTCGAACAGTATACATTAAGATTTCAGTATGCAAGCAAAGGAAGCTAGTTGGTGAGTGCATGAGTCCGTGATTGAGGGAGCGAGTGAGTGCATGCATGCATGAATGTACGTACCGTTGTATGTAAACTCATAAAGTTAGGTGGTTTCCCCCTTGTGGCCAGGATCGTCTTGGAAGGAAGTATATTCCAAGTGCCTCCTCTCCCATCTAGAGCTCGTGTGATGTCGTTGGGGCTTTGCTGTTCCTTCTTTGCATCTCATCGACTCTCACCCAAGACCCTGAACCCTAAACCCTAAACTCGAAACTGAACTCCAATACCCTAAACCCCAAGCCATCGCCGTTCTTCTCTCATCGGAAAACCTCCTTTCCTGTATGTTCATCTTCGGTTCGTTTCTCTGTTCCTGCAGCCCTCCCCCAAGAAACAAACAACTCAGAAGCAAGACTCCAAAGCCCTCAACCCCACAAGAAACAAGCATACCAACTCCTGAACCCCAAAACCCCATCAAACCCACAACAGCCTAAACCCTAAACCCTA